CTTTTTGGTCTTCATTGCCAGTGTCTACGCCTTGGTTTTTTTAAAAGCCACATATACCCTTTGACGATGCTGTGACGTGACGAGTATAGGCCCCCATTATAATAAGCCATGGGTTAACAAGTCCTCAACGGCAGAGCAGGTGGAAGACGATGTAAACATCTCAGCGGCCGTGAAGGTTGACGAAGGCTGCAGCAGCACGATATCTTCAATCGTCTCGGTCTCCTTGCCATTGCTATTCATGGTCCCGTTCTGTCAAGAACTGCGTGGAAGCCGCTGGGCAACAGCGTCTCCACGATAAAAGAAATCACGCGCAGGCATCTGTCACGGAAGGAACGACAGTTTCCAGCGCGACACCTTGATCCTTATTCCACGCATTAGCGGCGATCGATCGTATGGAATTAGAAGCAAGCTGGTAACCGGGGTGCGAAATCCGCCTCTCGCAGGGCGCCGTCTACCTGCTGCTGCTCCAGTGCCCACCGTGGCGGTGCCTCTTCTCTGTTGGCACCCCAGGGTCCTTCCGAGCGGTGTCGATTCTTCATCCCCCACAACGAGAGAGCCGTTCTCATAGTTGTCGACCCCAAAGGGGACGATGGGTTTGAGATTCTTCGTGTCATTCAATAACTAAATAATGAAACGCATTGAAGCACGTTTCCCCGGAAATAACCGTTGTTTTTTTTAATTCACTTTCACGACGGACAATCAATCTTGTGTATTGTAAAACACCAGGTCTATTATACCACATTGGTTGGCTCTTGTCTAACACAGCATTGTGTATCTATAATTTATGTGAAACTTTCCATTGATGTGTAAATCATATCTGTCATTCTATCCAGATGCCAAAGGTACACTGGAAAGTTGTGGGTAGTCCTGCAAATATGTGTTTTTTTGGCCTTATTGGGGGGTCCAGGTGTCCCAGGATGTTGCTGGTGGAGGGAGATGTCTGCAGGCTGTGGTTGGTATGTCGCCAAAACACCAAAGTAGGTCACCGAATGGCAAATGCCGTGTAATGTCCTCTATGGATGTTAAAAAAAACATTTGAGTGGAGTGAATGATATGCATTAGTGACACTACCCTTGGGAAGAACATGCATTTATTTCCTTTGCAGTAAAAAAATAATTTGTCGAAGAGAATAGCCTGCACTTTCACGTCGAATTGTGTTCACGTATAAAAGCCTTTCATGTGGGTGTAGGGCAGATGATAAAATGTTAATCAAATGACTGCATTGGTCATAAATATACTGAGTCAATCAGTAATTCTCACGAGGTTTTTGTTCAAGGCTGTATGGCAAATAGAATGCTAAGTTGCCTTGGCTGTTTTTTTGTTTGTAATATCTCCTCTAATGCAATGGGTTTGCTCTGGTCACACCTTAGCTCCTACCTGGTTATCTAAATCACGATCTTCGACTGATACTACACTGGGATTTTTGTCCTGGCATCTTCACGCCTGCAACATGACCCCAAATAGAATCAGTGAGACATCCCAATATGTAACTCTCCTTCTCGAGTCTTGCGCTAAAGCCATGCTTTTGTGGTTAAAGGAAATAAGGTAATCATTCATATTATTTTACCAGCTTGGATTTCACTGAAACCATCTGTCTCTCTCGGAGGAGTCCTTGCTAAAATAAGTGAGCAAAGAAGTGGAATGATTGCAGCAGCGTCACCAAGGCCAAACATAAATGTGCAAGAGATGAAATGCAAATGTTTATATAACTCAAACTTACATCGACACCGCCGAAACCCTCTTAAAAGCAATGTACGTTTTGTAACATCAAATAATTGAAAAGTAAAATCGTGAGTGCTACCACTGCTCTATTTGTGTGAAACTACGGCTTAAGTTAGCGGATGTGATGAATGTCATTCACACCTTCAAAAACATTCACGGCTGGCATTTCTGATGAGTGCTGCAATTTGTGAGACTAAGTGGAATTAAATCCAAATCAGGAGTGAACTCAGCCTGACTTTTACCTGGGGTCATGGAGATGAGTACCGCTTTGTGGGAATTTGAGGATACAGAGCCCCTTAATAGTAATGTGGACTTTCCACCACCAGCGGTTGCGTGAATAGACTTGAAAAATTATGTCTGACCTGGTCCACTCGGTACACGTACAGTGCAATGTAACGTGCACAGTGCACTCAGAGCAGACGGAGGCTCAGCGATGGGACAGTGTCCAGATCTTTCAAGAATCTGTGAACTCCTCAAACATTCCAGCCTGGTTAAACCCAGGATGCATCGTAGGCAGGCTAGCCTGAATGTTTCAAACTGGCGCAGATGTTCCTTTAGACAGCTCCACGTTTCGAAAGCATAGAGAAGGGAGGGCATAGCTGTGGCCGAGAAGACCCAGAGCTTTGTATGGAGCTACAGGCAAGGTAGATTCCACACAGCATTACGGCAGCTGATAAACCAGAGCTTGTCATTAGCACACTGCCCAAGTACGGAAAACATCTCCACAGAGCCAAACAAATAAAATTATCACGTGGCGTACAAACATTTTACAACGTGCCAGTTGCTCATGTTTCCGCTCACGAGTTAAAGAACAATTCTCACAACCAAATTTTGCCAAATAAAATCTCGGAAAGTCATGGATTTTATCTTGACTTCCTCGAACTGCCCTTGACCCTGGTCACTCGTCCCACCCTACCCCTGCTCAACACGAGGATGTTGCTGCTGCTGCTGCTGCTGCGTTAGTTAGCGGCCGTGCGCTGCGCTAAGTTCTGCTGCTGCTGTTTGACGCACGCGAGCCATGCGCATCAGCAACGGCGGCAGAGTGCTGGCAGCATTAGCATGCTGCAGGCGGCAGGTGCTCGGGGCCCGGTATTGATGGACTTGTTCCTCACCCTTCCATCTCATTGATTGTATGCAATTAAGGGAAATTACTCCTGAATACTTTTTGGTATGATGTTAGCAGGGACTTGTGGGTGTTATTTTTCCTGGTTGTAGAGGGAATGGATTGGCTTGTTTCAGATGTTTTATTTTTATTTCGCGGGGGTTTTTATCGCCTCCTCGTGCTGATGCGCGCGCTTCGGCCACCACACGCGAGGCGCGCTCATTTGTCTGGTTGCGTTTCGTGTCGACTCGTGCATCCACCTTTGTCGCTGTGTTTCGGGACACTGGAATATCCTTTGTTTGTCACTGTGTAAGCGTGCGCACAAAGACGATGAACCCAGCGGCCTGCTTAGCCGTATAGATTTTTGGGTGGGTGCTGTTAAGGCCGGCATGACACCCAGCGCCCTAGCCCGTTCGCCCATACCTGCTCCGTATTGATTTTGACACCCTAAGTACTTATTTGAGTTTAAGTTGATCAAAAGAAGGTTGCGGGCTAGGGTTCACAAACTCATTTGTATATGCTGTGGGTGGTGTAGAATGTAACCCGAGCCATAAAGAGCATGCTTACGTTTGTAAGACCCATGCACAAGGACACATTTCTACAATTTCATCTTATATGCACCATAGCATCAAGTGCTGTTAGCAAGTGTCTGTTAAGGTCAGTATAGCCACAGAGTGGGGTGTTGCCAGCATCTCTCTGGAATTCCATTATCTTATCAGAGCTAACGTTTACACACCACTCGAGGGACTCGTTTTAGGCTGGTTTTATCCAGAAGAAGCATATTCCACTTTCATATACCTCATGTCGATATTGTACATTACTGAAAGTCGATCCTCGGTGACTGGGATCATAGCATAGTGCGCGAAACGCGTGCACTTGGAAGCCGGGTGAATTGTTGAAGGCTTGCTCACAGGAGTCCATACGACAGGCCAAGCTCGGTGGAGACCGGGCTTTTTTGTTGAATTGCATGGGTTCCATAGTAGATGCCTATCCCCACAGTGGAAGACTTGCAAACACATCTGACAGAGGACAAGACCAGAGTAAGTGAACAGATCAGCTCCATAGTCGGTCCAGATGTTAAAGGGGCATGAACATTTATGTAGTCAAGCAGAAGTTCTTGCTTGGACCATTGGTGCATCAAAGGTGGTGATGTGTCCATGGGCCAGTGATAGATCAGCATATTGCTCATTACAAGCCCATGAGCTGCACCACAATCTAGAAGTCTATTGCTGTTAGTGGTGAGCTCATCTGGTCCATGTTTTCCAGTCTCCCATGCCCAAGTGCTAGCATCTTGACCGACTCAGGCTTTAAAGTCACCCAAAAAGATGACTCTCCTGATGGGCCATTTTAGCAAACACCCGGGAGATGTAATCAAAGGCATCTTACTCATCAGCATTTGCCCATGGATGTCCACCTTTGGTGGGGGCATTTGCAACTACAACCAGCGTTCATTTCTCCCTGTGTATGGAAAGGCAAGGGTACAACAGCCTGGGACTCGCAACCTCCCACACGTTACAGCAACACTCCCAGGCCCCCTCCATTATTTAATTTTGAAGGAGAGGGACTCCCTGATGTTTGTGGTCCTGCCACAAATAGAGGACTGTCCACCCCTTATGGTAATAGGAATCAACCAGACCTCCTGAGTTCCTTACACAAACAAAGACAAAGATCCCCCGTGTAGGCTTCAGACTTTTGGGGCAAATGTTGTTGGTGAGCACCGATGAAGGCCACCATGGCACACAAGGGAGAAGGTGGCCAAAATCATGCCCAGCTGCCTTTGTCTCCCTAGTGGCGATGTTTACACGCCGCACCAGGTACTCCTGTGAGGCCGAGTCGACCTCGGGAAAGCTCAGGACCAGTTCAGATAATCGCCACTTTATGTTTGCCGTGATCGTGAATCGAATTCGCGTTGCCAGGTTCGTAGCGCAGCGTGCTAACCGCTATATTTACCACTCCCCTAAATACATAGACATGTACACACACACAGATACACACGTGGACAAATACAGCCTCACAATCAAGTCTGTATATTTTTCTGCTTGAGTAAAGCATTGCCACTCATGTGCGCGTGTTTGTTGTAAGTATGTATTTTGAACTTCTTTCGTACCGTACGTAGCCAACCGTGCTAATCAGGTGCCTGAGCTCACGGCGCGTGTGTGTGTGTCTGATCACCCAGGCTCTACGAAGACAAAGACAGGGAGGAGTTTGAGGACTCCCTGCGCGAGCTCTTCAAATCTATCAACAACATGATGCGCAATACCCAGGACTCCACGCTGCTCGTGCAGGTGATGCCCTTTTTCTAATCGCTGCCTCCTTGCTTTGGGTGACAGCCCGGTTCGATATCCGTCGATGTTTGAAACATGGCACGCATTAATCCGCAATCCGTAGGATCATGTCGCTGTGCCGGCAGATGAGCAGAAGTGGCGGCGAAACCCCTTGGGTGTCATATCACTGCACTTTTAGACACGTCAGCGGTACCGGTCGGGGGTGTTGTGGCCAGAACGCCCCGCTGGCAATCACAGGGTCATGGAATCATTTCCCAGTGGAGTTAGCTTGACCCATTATCTCCCTCTGGTATCTAAATTAAATACCACTTTGTAGTAAGTCCACATTGGTTGTCTCCTCGGGAAACCGGCCATTGACGTAGGAATGTCGAATGTTCGGGCTCAGGACTGTCAGTTGAGATCCGCATTGCTCCCATGGCTTTGTTGAGCAGAGAGATGCTTTGATGTGAAGTGTCCCAAGTGTTTTGTTTGGGTTATTGCGCAGCAGCATCCCCATCGTGTATGCTCGCAAAGCGTGCCACGTGCTTTCCTTAGGTTCCAGCGCCACTGCACGGCAGTGCCAAACCTCCCGCTGGCTGCGTTCGGGAGCCAAACGTGTCCGCTCACAGTTTACTGTTTTTAATTTTCACACGGAGAATAAACGTTCAAATCATCGGCAGGTGGGTGCGCAGGGAAGCATTCACTTGCACAGCCAATGAGATGGTTGTCTCAGTCAAGAGATCGTCTGTCCACTGAGGACCATGCAATTGTTCGACGTTGGGATGCGCATGAAGCTTGGTGGATGCTGGTAATTGCTCGACACGTAATTACTCCCTGTCGCACGTATTACTCCCGAGTGGAGGAAATATAATGGGCATTGGAATAATGAAAAGCAAAAGGTCAGAGTGTCTTTGTGCTCAAACAAACAGGGGGCTGTGGGCGTCTCTGTTGGAGGCATATTAAGCCAGTGGTGTAAATTCCACATTGATATTGCAAGGACCGCTCTCTCTCTCTTGCAACCAAGGTTGGCTTGTCAAAGAGTCGGGCTTGGTTTTTACAATATTGGAGGCATGTGGATTCAGACGAACGCCGACTGGGATTTTAAATTGCGACCTTCCAATTTCAAATGTGACATTGACCACATGTCAGATAAATTATGTAGAGGTAGAGAAATGTGTTTTTGCCAAGAGCACGCCAACCTGCTCTTGCTCCCCTATCATTTATTCATTTTGATATCGGGACCTTGTAACGAAACGCGACAAACTAATGTGCCTAATAATTCCGTTTATTCACACGGTGGTCACCGACATGCTCTGAATGTAGACACTAGAACACCATTCCAGTGCCCAGCCCTCGGGGAACTCGGCTCATGCAACATTTCTTTGTTTACATAGCCATTGCGTTAATACACGCGTAACATCCTCATGGCCGCCGTGCTCGTCACCATTTCAAGTTCCCTGCTCAGGCCAGCGACGGCTGGCCGGGAGAGACTTTAGTGATCCTGCTCTTCACAACTCTGGCTAACCGCCTGGTGACGCTGGTTGTTGTTGTTGTTGTAATCACCAGCGAAACGTCGCGGTACTCGAATTGTAAATGTTGTGGATTTACTCTCCCAACACACCGTTGTGCTCAAGTGGTAACTCATTGGCAGTTTTTTTTAACGTGACAAGCCTTGCTAATTGGCTGTGGCGGGTGTTGGCGGGATTGACGATACAACAATATTATGGATAATATTGCTCGTGAAAGTCTACGTGTTAAACTGACGTTGGGAAGCTCGTGACAGCGCCTTTAATCTTTGTACGATGTTACCGGTCACGACGTATGGATTGGGAAATGAGGACACCGACAGAATATGGAACAACATCTGAAAGGTGCCGAAAGAAGCAGAGAGAGTGTGCATTCTTGGAACAGCATTGAGAGACAGAAAGAGGGACACGTGGATCAGAGACATCGTATTGATCGTTAAGAAAATCAGTGGGCTTGAGCAGGACACACATCATTAGAAGGGGTGATGTCCGATGGTGGAGATTAAAGGCAGAGCGGTAGCCAAAGGAGAGGACCGCCCCAAAGAGGATGACCACTGCGGAGATGGAGCAATGAGATCGGCTCGCGTGTGGGAGATGGATGGATCGTTACATTGTAAGACCATTCGAGAGGTTGACGGCTTGGAGAGGCGTTCATCCAGCAGCTGATGATAATGACAGAATTGTGGACCTTGATTTTGAGTTTCTTGTTTATGTCGGATGTTGCCAGAGAAGTGTGTTAATGAGCTCGAAGGGGCCACTTGTTTTCCTGTGGATTATAAAGGATTGAGGATCTTAAAAGGCTGTTCATCTCCTTTAATGGCACACACTCCATTCACAATGCCGTGCCATCGCGAGGCTTGTTTTTGGGCTCCAGGACAAACAAATGAATGCATTGACAATATTGGTTTTACGAATAAGCTATCGTGAGGTTGCACAAGCTATGGAGAGGTTAACAAAACTGTTCTTCCGAGGAAGTGAAGAAGAGTGGTTGTCACTCGTTAAAGGGAAGAGCCAGTTGAACTGGAACAGTTTTTAGTTTCCTTCCTCATCATACAGTCACAAGCAGCGGGGTTATTGCTGACAGAATGTGGAGACTTCTCACGCATGGCGTTTATATTCAACTGCGAGGTCTATGGACCCAGGTGTCCCAGTCAAAAAATGCGCGGACAAAAAAAGTTTTGAAATATTGCACTGTTACAGTCGGTGTGACACGAAGCCAACCCAATACTGTCACATCTCGAGAGAAAATGTTTGCGTGGCATGAATGCTTTATGCATGGAGCGCACAACACTACAGCAGCGTTGACTGGCAAGTAGAGCCAGCAGTAAAGAATGAACAAATCGTCATACTCGGCTCTCACCTGAAGAAAAAAACCCTACGTACGGGTTTCCCTGGTCAAGTGAACGTCAGGGCAGTCCTCATCTTTCCCAGAAGCCTTGAGCAAGTGGTGGGAATTCCACGTTCCTATTGCGGGGGACCAGTTTGGCCTACAGCAGAGCCACTGTCATTTTACATTAAGGCGCTTCATACTGAGGATGATCAGTAAGGTCAACGCTTCCATCAGGCACTGAACTGTAGCGCAACTCGGTTTGATGGACTTCAAAGAATCGACTGCAAATTCACAACGTGTTATTTGTATCCTTTGGCAGTAAAACGTTGCCGCTGGTATCTGCAGCTTACATCTTGACGTTCCCCCCAAACAGTGCCTTCATTGTACTCGTTGCTACGACATGAGAGAGAGGAAAGCCTTCTGCCGCACACATTACCTGCTTCCTCGCCGTCGCCTTGTCGGGTGCAAGGCACAAATTAATTTGAAGGATTCTTCTGCTGCCACTGCTGTCACTGGTCGGGCTGAAACCCTTAAAGTCGACCGTGCTTTTCGCAGAATTTCAGGATGGGAGACGACCTCTGAATGTAGACTTGCTCGTGTTCGCAATGAGCCCAAAATATCAGATCAAATGGCTTAGACTAGCAGTACTCTATTTTTAAATTATTCAACTATATGTTTTTTTCACCAGGTAAGGCCTACTGAGCTATAAAGCTCTTTTTCAGAAGCGACCTGGCCATAAATGATAGCTCAGCGAAGTGGCTTCTCACGTGGAAATGTATAGCCACCAAATACTCTAAACGCGTGTTTCTAAATGTGGAGAGAAAAACAGAAATAGCCGGAGACAAAAAGCACGTGATCACGGTGAGAACATGCAAACTCCGAATATACAGCAGGCGTCAGGGTGAGATTGAACCCACGACTTCCTGCATACCAGGCGAGGTAGTTAACATCTCGCCACAATGGGGCGCCGCGAGATGTGCTTGCTCCCTCGCGGACCTCGCACTCGCCGCTGCCGCTCGCTTGTTTCAAGATCTTCCAGCCGGCAGTTTGCCAAGTCGCAAAAGTTGCTTTTTTTACACCGTGCTCCTGGAAAGTTGTCTGATAAACTTACCAATTTCACGTTGAATGGCTTGGCTCTCCTCTAATATACGGGGGAGATGGAAACGTACAATGCGAGCAATTTCGTTTCATTTTGGGCCGTATTGCCTTCCAGTTACTGGCCGTAAAACATGGACAATATCAACGGAGCTTTGTCAAGTTCTCTCTATTCGATATCCGCCCTCCTATTGGCGGCGCCACGGAAGCATTACCAAAGCGCGCTGTTAGTGCGAGCGCGAGGCTGGCTCTTGGTAAATGCTGCGCCCTCGAGCGGAATTATTACACTGATTATGCAGCCGTCACTGCTCAGGAATTTGTCTCAAGCTAGCGCACTCTAATTTGGTTCTCGAAGACGGAGTCATTCCTAGTCACGGTAATAACAGGTATTGCAATCGTTTGAAGGTTTGTTCGTCGTAGCTGTGTGGAGTGAAAAGCATAAAAAGTGATGAGGGTTGTCAAAATGAATATTAAGCTCCGGAGTGTTGCTGCTTTTATATTTCTCAAACAATTTTTTTTTTGACAAAGACATGAAATATAATCAACACTTCAGGCTTTTGATCACGAGAATATAAGCAGTTCACTTGAATATTTGTAAACACCGTGTACGTATGAATAATAAAAGTAAGTAGTTTACATAACCGTTTTCAATTCAGTATGCTGTACTTTTTTTGAAGGAAATTAGAATTCCCATGTATTGGCGGATTTGTTGATGAAAAAAAAATGCCCCTGGCTCGATCCAATAAAAATGCAAAATGTTTAATCACACCCCATGTCACATTTCAAGTTGCATACGCATTAAAATCGTGTATATGCGACACATATACAATTTATGATTGCGTATGTTTGTGTCACGATACCAGAGAAACTTGCAGATTATTATTCCGTGTCTCCTTTGACCATGAAAGAGAGGTGTTGTTTCACCGGATTAGCGTCTCCTCTAAGTCAAAGTGTCTCCTTGGGCACCCAAGCTTTTGGGTGGCGATTAAATAAATTGGTGATCGTGAGCCGGTCATTGGAAGTTCCACGTTACTATGGTAGGGGGCTAGTCTCTCGAAGCAGTACCGAATGCATTGACCCCGAAGAGATACGAGGGTGAGTAGACGCTCAACTGGGATTTAGACTCCGCGTCATTCGACTCCGTGCAGAGCGCGTGCAAGGTTTCACATGTGGGTTTTGCTCAATCCCATTATCAAACTTAAACGACTCGCATTTTCCGAGTAAACACATCTCCAAAAGGGGCTTGGGTTGATTGTTTACTCGGAACAGGTGTGCACACATGGCGATGTGCAAGCATTCATCAACTCCGTAGTACATTATTGCCGCCGTCTTTTGCCAAGGACAACTCGGCCTCCTGACTAAGCAGACCCGAAGTGCCAGCAGCAATCACCGAGGATATTGCTCCCGCAGCAAAGTTTTGTGGAAATGTGCGCACGCGTCCGTTAATTTGCCCTGCCCGGCTTTCGCAAAGCGCTCTGCGCGGTGGCCGCCGCTTCAGGAAATGAAAGTAATTGCTCGGGATAGGAGACTAACCCCGGCCTTCGTAATAAGGCAATGCAAATTCTCAATGAAATAAATAAACACCAACGCTCACGTTCTGCTTCCCGCCCTCCCGTAGCGCCCGACCGCCCCCTCTGACCGACAGGCGGGACACCGCTCTGTGTGTGTGTACATTTACATATCGTTAATAAAACATCACTCTGGAGTTGAGCTTGCACGGCGGCAGTAATGGAAGCCAACAGGGCTTTTCATTGAACAGCAATATCACGGGTGATGGACTGGGGAGGTTTGCGTACAGCGCTGCATGCTGATCTTACACTTATCCACGGTGAGACCCTGGCGCACCAGTGCCTGCTAAGGTTATGCCTCCCGAACTTGAACGCTACGGGATGACCTTCACACCATGTGTTTGTATTTTAGTTACCAGTGAATGTACCCCTCGCCGAATAACGGCCCATCCACCCCACCCCCCCCCCAAGTGTAGACCACAAACCTACACGCTCCGCTTAAAAAAAAAATTGCGTGTGCACGTCACGTGTTTGCTGCGTGCGACGTCGGTCGATACCTTGGGATACCCTCCCAAGCGAGATGTTCTACCTGAAGATTATTGTGTGCGTGAAATACTTTGATTAAAACAATCCGAATAAAAGTCCGGCCATCTCCTCCTGGCCACTTTTTCAGCTCAGCAGGTTTTGGAAATCTGACAACCTGCACATTAAGTTTGTTGTCCTTTCCCCGCCCCGCACAACCGATTATCACGGTTGGCTCGGTACGATTATATAGAAGTTCAACATACAGACGTGCGTCCGTCCACCACCCCTAGCATTCCACACGGTGGGATTTCTGGCTCCGTTTGCTGCCTGCTGAGCGTGCACCTGCTGCTGATCGCTGTAATCAAGTCTAAGTGCGTCCCTTCTCGATTGTTCGGCAGTGGGGCTCCCATCTCCATCGGTGGCTCCAGGCCAGTGGTGGAAGTCCCAGCATGTCTACGGTTGGGGGGCCGGGCTTTCGTTCAATTGCTGTTGACCTCCCACCACACAGCGGTCGTCAGTTTAACTACCCCATGCGGATGTTGGTCTGAATTGCTCACCACGCCCCGCCCCCTGACTGGGATTTGAACTCTTGACCTTGTGACTTGAGTCAAGCTCACTACCCTCAAGCTCACTACACTCACCATTGGGTGGTCAAGCTCACTACACTCGCCACTGGACGTGTGCGACTATACGAGCGTGTGTACGTTTGATTTGTTCTCCTGCCACACCTGACTGCTTGTGTCCCGTGCCCCCCGCGTGTGTCTCGCAGGGAGCCGCCATGAAGTATCTGCCTCTGATCGTGCGCGACGTCCGCGGTGTGTTTCATCTGACGGAGCTCAGGTGCGCCGCTTCGATTAATCAACGTCACTTACTGGAAATCCGTCGACTATGCAATCTCGCGGCGCTTATCTGCTGCGTGAATCTGTTAAAGTGAAATTTGGAAGGGTTGCCGACCTGTGATGGGTGGATTCTGGGTGGAGGGAGGGGGCAGGTGGGGGGTGGAGACCTTTGACATCTCAATCAATCAGCCGCTCATTCGAGCCACGGATCTTTGCAACAAGCGGCGAGCGCACCACCGCTTGACCAAGACATCCTGCCCCGTTTGACCGTGCGCTGCCAGTTAGTTAAAAAATCCTTGAGCCACCGGGAAAACATCTGCTTTTGGTGTCAGAAGATCGTGATGGTTACTTTGTGAGCCGGTCACCCAACTTGGGGCTCCCCGCGCAAGGCGCACCCCAGCGGCTCGGAGCAATTAATGGCGCTGAATTGTGTGTTGGATAATTCGCGTTCATTATCTATTAATGGATCGGTTCATTGGCCATTCAAGCCAATTCCAGAGCGGGTCCACCCGATCAATTGTAATGTGATTCAGATAAATTCGGGCTGCTAACGTGGAAAGTGCCTATTGAGCAGTGAGGAGAGTGCATTATCTGGCAGTGTATTGAGTGGCTGCTCTGACGCCACAGTTCATGGGTTACCAACCAACATTGCTGGTTGCTTGCGCAGGCATGCGTGTGTGTGCGCTTAAATAGAAACCAAGCCAAAGATTTATATTTTGCTGAACAGACCAAAGTGGGCAAATTCTGTAGCAAGCATTTCCCAAGCCTGGCACATTATAAATCGGAATCCAACCCAGGTCACGGGCTTGTAATGCAGTGCATTAACCTTTGCACAACTGTGCCCCACGCACAGAAAGACTGCTCTGAGTAAGTGCTGTTAGTGAGCGCCTCTAAAGGCCAGCAGAATAGCACACAAATAGCTGCTGTGGCCCGCACGAGTCTCCCCGGTACTGACACGTGTGACTTGCTGGAGAAGGTCGTCATATAAAGCTCAGTCACACATGGGGATGCCCAGGACAAAGTCATTTGCCGTTGTCCAATGAGGGCTTGCATCACGTGACCTGGAATCGACCTTGAGTCACTGAAATGGTAGTGCACTTACCATTGTGTCAGCTCTTCCCAGTATACACACTTTCTCACATATTCCGCATGCACCTTTACAGATATTGCGTGCTCTGAAGCCCACATGGCTTGGCCGTTTCTACAGCCCTAGACTTCGTGGGTGTGGGAGGATAATGATATTGATTCTATTTAAACTGTACACCTGGATAATCCCTTGAGATGCAAGATCTCATTTTGTTTTTATTTGTTCTGATTGCTCTCCATCATTGCTGTCATTCGTTTTGTTCGATTTACCTTTGTGGCAAGCCCCGGGTCAGTCTTGCAAATGAGACTCATCATGGTCTCTTGAGTCGTCACCACCTGGTTCGACAAAATCTACTCGAACACTTGAAAGGGAGTCCACCGTGCTAATTGTCACATACGTAGCAAACAAGACAAAGATCCCCCGTATAGTCTGTAACAGACTGTTGGGGCAAGTGCCGTTAGCGAGCACCTACGAAGGCCGGCCCGGCACACGATGGGCTGGGTGGCCAGCACCACGCCCAGCAGCCTTTGTCTCCCCAGTGGCGATATTTACTAACCGTAACAGGTGCTTATTTTAGGCTGAGTCGACCTAGGGCAGGCCCAGGACCAGTTCAGATAATTGTCACTGGTGTTGGCCATGAGTGGGAATCGAACTCGGGATGCCGGGTCCGTAGTGCGGCGTAGCGCTAACCGCTACGCCACCGCTCCCCACCCACCACACGCCCATATAAATGATTGAATTCTGTAACTTATACAGTACGCATTTATACAATCAATATCAGACACGGTGAACACACACAAATACAGATTACAATGCCTCCCATGAAGTTAGCCAGAGCCACAACACGGCCGCAATCATCTGGGGAATTATTGGCGGCAATCCGCGTACATTTTGAAGGGTCAGCTGAACAGTGGCGTATGAGATTTGTGTTTTGTATTTTTGTAAACACAATAAGAGACAATGATCGCATAACAGTCTGACATCTGTGGTGATGCTTTGTTCGTGGTATTTGCTATTGCCATTATTGAAGTTTTCAAATGACTCTTCGCTGTGTTCTCTTTGTGGGGATCCTCATGAGGTTGCCGTAGAATGCATTGACTTTTCCCTTCATTGTCACCACCGCTGCAGCTTCGTCGTTCCTCTGTGCTACCGCCGTGCCGCTGGCATTGTGGTGTTGAGTCCTTGGCTCACAATTGGAAGGTCACAAAGTCTACGTTTCATTTGTCGTCGTTGTCTTAGTCTCTCACCCCTTCTCCTGGGCGTATCTAAAATGAGTGCCAATTTTGAAGGAGTCAACAGTGATTATCATTTGGAAATACTCATCCTCGTCTTAGGAAAGTGGAATTTACACCACTGGCTCAGATTCATCAGTGCACATGAATACCACCACATGTTAAATTTTAGCAGTGAGACACCAACGGAACACTCAGTGTGTCTTCAGACTCCTGCTTTGCTGTTGTTTGACCCGCCAATGAGCGTTGATGCACGCGAGATCGAACCGTCGTATCCAGCGATCACTTTTAGGGCGATAGCAATGAGAAATGTGCACAGATAGGTCAGCAGCCTACTCGCTGTACCGTTATCTCTCAGCGACAGCCCAGCAGTGGCAATCTTGAGCACAGAGTGATCTCTCTGGGACTCAGCGGTGCTGCCTCTGAAGCACGAGGCTACTGGTCTTTGTCACCATGTCTGGCTCTTCCAGGGGGGGCCGGGGGGCAGGCGGGCGGGGGGGGGGTGGGGGGGTGGGGGGCGTTGCCTTACACCTTTCTGCGGGCCAACTGAGGTGCAATTATGTAATTTGTCGTTTACAAGATTGACGCATCATTGGGCCGTCTCTCTCACCCTGCAGCCACCTGTTCCAGGAGTTCATCAGGAACATCCCGCAAGAGCGGCTGACCAAGCAGAAGCTCTGCTGCATGACTGAAATGGTGTACAGAGACCTGTTTCTGCACAAAGGTGGGACGCACAAGCACGCTCAGAGCCACATGCTCTGCACACTTTTTCGCAGGTGGTTTGCTGCACCGATTGTATGAATCTGTTAGTTGTAACACTCGACTCATGAACACGAGGGTAACGGATTTAAATCCTGCTCGGGGATGGTCACCACGTAACCTTGATGGGGTTGACAAAATGAGTAACACGGTGGGACGTCAAAAGGGCCTGTCCTTTGGATTAACTAGCCCTAACCATAGAACCATGGAATTCGACACTTCACGTGCCCTTAAAGTGCGCAATAGCGTGGCACATGCACCGTGGTGAAGTCACCGCCACTTAGTGGCGAATGGCGGCTGCTGCTGTTGTTGTTGTTGTTGTTGACGGCGCCTCGCTCCCTCCCTGCCACCCCCCGTGTGCAGAGTGCCGCGACGTGCTGCTGCCCATGATGACGGAGCAGCTCAAGTCCTACCTGGAAAAGATGGAGGAGCTGGAGCCTTGTGTGCAGCTGCTCAGCAACATCCTGGAAGTTCTGCACCTCAAAAACGTGGTAAGTGCCTGCACTCCTCCTCCTCGTGGGGTTTACGCGTGGCACAAGCGCCTGGGTAAGCGGTGCATTCGGATCGCAGCTGCAACTGTCGATGTTTTTCATCCTCACCTTCCTCCTCATTAGTTTCAGCAGCAGCGTTGTTAATCGGGATTTACCAATGCATTGATTAATACGTTTAAATCAATTGCCATGCTCATAATATGTGCGTCGAATCGCGCACGTCACAATTAATTATTTTGTTCGTGCCTGTTATGTATAATTGGTTCGTGTGACCTCCAAGGCCACTAGATGTGCTACTTTTACCATACTGTTGTGGTAAAAATAGACTCTTTAATCAAATCGTGACCTCAAATCGTGACAAGTTGCGAATTGTTATGTTCCTACTTGTTTCAGGGTCATCATTATCATCGTTGTAGTTTTTTCCGTGATTATCTTCATCATCCTCATCAGCACGGCAAGTGGCAGCAGCATTAGCAGCAGCAAGAACATCGTCACGACCAGCAAGAGCAGCGTCACCAACAGCAATTAAGCATCATCATCTTGAACAGCCGCAACAGCAGCATAAGCACCATTATTATTATGCTCATCATCACCATCGTTCCTGGCTTCACCATGATTTGCAATAGCAGGATCAGCAGCAGCAAATGCGTCATCACTGGCAGAAGCAATCTCAGCATTATTCAGAGTAGGACTGCAGCATTCTCATCAGCAACAGCATTATCATCATCATAATAAGCAATTTCATGTGGCTACCAGTTGTCATATGGAGAAACTGGTCACCACCATGGGAATATGGAATTTCCACAGGTGGTTGAGGGCCACCATACAGAGATGAGAACTGTCCAATGCTCTTTGGAGACGCCTTCACTGACTTGAGGCACGTCTCGAATACCAGTGGAGAAGCTATTGAGGCGATGCAAATATAAACACGTTGGATAAATAGAGGCATGGGGGAGGGTTAAAAGCAACACAAAAAAACTCTTAAAAACTGAATAAAAATAATTGACGAAACGACATGCGACCGATAACACTGCAGCAGCGTTGCGTGTCACCAAGCCTTCAGACCAAATCGACGCGGCGCGCTGTCTTTTCTTTCCTCCCGGGCGAGATAATAGCGGTGCGCGTACGTGCCGGCAAGTCGATGTGAACGGCGGCGTTGAAACGCGTCCAGACGTGGCCTCGCGAGGCTGCCGTGCCTCGGGGGGGCCGCGGGTGGGAGGGTGTTGGTGGGCGGGGGGGGGGGGGAGGCGGCCCGGCCCTCGACGCGCTGTGTTGGCCGCCCTGTGGCTCCGCTCGCCTTTGCCCCCCTCCGCCCCCCCCCGCGCTCCTCGGCGCCGTAGCGATCGCCGGGCCGCCGGTTGGCCATGTCCGGAACGGCGTGGGATGCGAGCGAGCGGCAGGTGGCCCGTGAACCCCCGCGGAGCGATTGACATTTTACTGGCGACTAATTGCGTAGATCGGCAAACCCTGTTTGTGTTATTTCCACCGAAAAAAAATGTCTGTAGAACAAAACCAACAGCATATGGAAATGTTAAAATGAATACGTTCTTGGATACAATTAGTATATATTTTTGTGGGATTTCAAAAATAAATTCACAACAAGGGAGGGACCAGTTTCCGGCCATGGAAATGTGAAATTTCCAATGCTGGCTCGGGGTCACCAGTAGAGGCTTAATTTTATTGCGGTTAAGCATATCACTTTGTATACATCATCGGTGATTGTCCTTGGGATAAACAAGCCCTCTCCATAGGAATATGGGAACAGATGGAACTCGGGCTGGAAGCCAGCCTGTCTAGCTAGGGCATGGAAGTTGGGTTCTGGTTTGGGCACTGCAAGAGGTGATGCTCTCGCGTGCCTGCGCAGCTTCAGTAATGGTTCCACCACTGTCAGCAGTTCTTCAGCGGCGCTTGCTGTTAACAGTTTTTAATTGTGTTAGCTGTGCTATGTAGGGCAAGGCAAAGTCAGGTCGAAGCATCACTCTTTGCCAAGAGCAACGGTGCAGCTTTCATCTTTATAAGCACCCAGAGGTCGGTCACTAATGTAATAAAGGTCGTGGAAGCGACTTCTGGAATCCGGTCTTTATTTGTCTTTCTTTTACAACACTCCTTCACGCTGCTGACAAACAGCGTGAGAGGGAGAGAGAGAGACACGCGCGGCCACGTGGCAGCCTGGACCCCGCTCCAGCGTGGCCTCACCCTCCGTTCGTTCCAGATCTGACCACGTGTTGTTCGTCTCCACCCCTTTTTAATACCCGGGTCACGTGGTATCTTTCCACCAATTCTGGTTAACCTCTATGGAATCTTCTAGACTCCATCGTACGCTCCTGGGACCACGCCCCTGACTCCTCCCCCCATTGGCTGTGGCTAAAGCCAGCAGAACCAATCCTCTACTTACAGATGTCACCTTCCCATTACGTCAGGGCCACGCCCCTAGACTTCCCCCCATTGGCTATGGGCCAGGACCGGCAGAGCCAATCATCGTGACGAGGTGTGATCCATCAGCAACCCGGATATATCCTCACATTACACTAAGACAAAGGTTTAGGACTGTAAGAGCAGACCTCACTGCTGCTCTGTTTGTACACTGCACCCGAATTGTGTCCAAGCCTCTTTGGGAAACCAAAAACAACCTCAGGGCTGTGGGTGGGTCACCCCTTCTCCCTTCACTGCTCTTGCTGGTTAACTCTCCTCTTGCAAGGCTCTGTGCACAGCAGATCCACTGCATACTCCGTGTTCTCTGCCCTAGACGGGTACTTCCTAATGACACATTACATAATTTCTCCCACCCATCCACTTGCACCCAAATCGGAACTCCTTCTTCATCCCACCACTTTTCCCCTGGTCTCCCCCGAAATAAAATGTGTAATTTTCAGTGGTTGTGTTGTCGACTTTGCAACAACAGCTGCGGGATCTGGCAGAAGGAAGGGAGGGCGGTGGCGAGGTGTGGAGGCACCAACGGCATTGGCTCGGTTCGCTTCTTGACCTTCGGCCTCCCACTCGCTTGCGGCGCAAACCGGCGGCGCACATTCCACATTCCCCTGGCGCTGGGGACCAGTCTCCCCATAAGAAAGGCTCAGCAAGTGGTGCTCTTTTTACCGATGCCAGAGGGACGACTGCGAGCTGAGGGTTTTAACCGCTGCACTGCTGGTCTGGGCCCTGCGTGAGTGCTGCGCTATGTTGTGCTTGGCTTTGCAGGTGGGGGGGGGATATTGTTGTATCAGCATCCTACCCTCCCCGCTGCATGGCCCAGCGCACATCCATTTCCAAGCAAATTGTCAAAACGCACCCTCCACCTGTGTTCAAATGTGAAACCACTGGAGCCACGCCAAGCGTAACCATTTTTCCAAAACTCAATTTTTCCCCCGCCCTCTCTCTCAGGCTATTGAGATTTCATTGTTTTGCAATTCTTTTCAAAGCGGCTGCCACCCCTGTAAATTTAACCCCGCTGCAGGTTTAATTTTTGACATTTTACTCTACGGAATGTTTATTTTATTTAAACGTTTTTTTTCCACCTAAATGAGGTAACGAGAGTCGATCTCGATTTTTTCTCGCGTTGTATTTTGAAATTTTCGTAATACATTTTTTTCTGCTCGTGCTATTCAGCAATCAGTAAGTTGGACTTTTTTAAATGCAAACGAGAGCTCATTATCATCAGTGCGAGGAAGAGCGATTGCTCCAAGTTTAAGTGACCTCCATGGCAACCCGTTATAAAGAAGTTATCTGTGTTTAAATTCTGCTGCGATGATTGTCGCGTAACAGTGACTCAAGGGTTACTGCAATCAAATTCAATTCAAAGTGTTCTATCCTCATGCGCAATTGAGTGTCGGGTGCCACTCATCTCCACTGGTAGCTCCGAACCACTGGTCGGAACCCGCGTTTGATTTGCGGGGAGCCGGTCTTTATAGGGCAAACACTGTGCCGCCACAAAGCGGCGATCGTTTTATCCACCTCTGTGGGGTTGATGAGCCTGTCGGCCCACGCAGTGCAAACGGAGCGCCGTGCCACAGCGCCACGCTAACATCGGTATTCATAAAAGCGGTCTCTTCCATAGAGAGGGCTCTGGGAATATATCATCTTTCGTGAAATAGATCTCTGTGGTGATTGAATGACGCTTGAGGCACGCGCGTCACGCTGCGCTCTTTTCTACATTTTCTCCCCGTTGAGTCGTCCTCTGCGTGGATGCGAGCAGCAGCTTGTTGGCTTCACTATAAAGCGCACTTCAAAAACACCCGTCACTGTCCAGTTCCCATATTTATAGTTGACAATGCCCTGATCGATATAATAAGTTGTTGCCTCTCTCGTGAACTCTGCACTGCCAAAACAGATTAGCCGTGAAGCGCACGGCTTCATATTTACTCATGTGGTTCTTCTCCGTGGATACCTCCGTGCGAGTCGGTTTTGTTGGGTGGCCCTGCGGCGAGAGTGTGGTCGATTCAGCCACGATTGGGCCAGCCGCGATGTTTCCGGTGACGATAAAATAAGCATATCTTTGTATGAAGTCGACAGTGTCTGTCCCAGTGTATGTACTTGGTCTCTACCATAGGGACGTGGAATTTCCACCGATGGCGATGAGCGATTCCGCACTCTCAATCGGGCAGTTTGACTTATTGCAGAACTCTGACACTGGTCTGTAAACATAGCCTGGTATCCCGAAATATAATATGTACGCCTTGCGGTAAATATTCCTGCGTAGCTACATGCATGGGTAAAGGATTGGTAAATAGTAATGATTTATTGCTCTATTAAACATAGCAATGCAAGCGGGAATGCCGTTGGACTGGACGCATGCCATGGGATTCTGGAAAAGCTGCCAGTGCGACACAATTAGCGAGAGTAAGTCACCTAATTGAGTCGTCCGTGTAAACTTTTATTTGAATACAGCTGGTGACAGGTAGTTAATCAAATGCGTGCATACAGCCTACGATTCCACTTGCACTCCGACGCGCTCTCGCGCGCTCGCGACTGCTGTTGAAGCTCACCGTAAATTGAACGTCGCTTGT